ATAAAGCCCGGCTGAATGTGAAAGCCTAAGAATATACCTTCAATACCAGTGCCTGCAAACTTGGAACGTTCCGGCTTACGTTGCTTCTTGGGTGCCCAGTACAGAACCTTAGCTCCGAATGGAACCCTCATGCCATTGAACTTCTCACCGTACCTGAGCTCCCATGGGACCTGACCATTGTCTAGCCTCATGGAAGTGTTGAGGCATACAGCGTGATGCTGTGATGCCATGGGCCAATAGCGATCAGGCAATCCTGATTGCACCAGGTTGGCTCTTGTTCCTTCGAGAATGGTTCGAATTTCGCGTTCTATGACGGCCTTATTCTCGTTCACGTATGCCCGGGAGGTGTTGTGACGAGCACGGAGCTGCCTTGCGGCAAAGTCGAATTCCAATGCGTTATCGGAATATATGACTTTGACCTCATCATCAACGCCAAGGAAGTGCAACATATCCTCGTAGCATTGCTCGCCAGACTTTGTCTTAGAAGGATAGATGTACCTAAACTTTGAGTACACGTCCTTGACTACATGAGCCAGGGTCTCCTCCTGAAAGCCATAGTCCTTAGCATCTTCTGTTATGATGTGGTCCACCGTGATGTGGTCACCGAACGCTTTGCTATGAATCGTCGTTGATCCACCTGATTTCCGCGCTTGGGGCGCGTACATCTTGGCTCTTTGGCAAATCGGGCAGAAAGGATTCTTCGGCCTATGAGTCAGTCGATGCTCCAGCGAAACAGCCTCGGCTCTCAAAGAAGCTTCGTCTTTCTTTGCTTTGGGAACCGACCGTGGCTCGACATCGCTGTCGGCTGGGGCTTCGACCTCACCTTCAGGCAAAGCAAACAAAGTAATGCTCGCAATGGTTCCTTCAGGTACTTCCCCATAGATACCGTCAAGTTCGTCAATGTTGACTGAGTCTTCCAACAAAGACCAGACGTCGTCCTTAAATCCCCAGGTAGTCCGGATTCTATACCTCGGGAACTTGGGAGCTGGCGTTCGAAAGGTCTTCGGAAAGTGGGCCACTTTGGCAGCAGGGCTGCCTTCAATGACCGTCCAACCTGCCTTTAGCAGTTGTCTTGGTTCCACCCCTGGAATGGGTGGAATGGAATTCGCCATCTTTTCGATGACATCTTGTCCTTCTGCCGCGCCAGCTGAAACTTCTTGTTCTTCGCCTTCTACACGTGCTGGTGCGGCATGCCCTTGCGGGCAGCTATCTACCGAAAACCCGACGTCACATTGATGGAGGTCGGTGCCACCTTGCTGCAATCCTCGGAAGAAGATGTTGCGGCGGGGCACGCCACTAGCGGTCCTCGGTCGCCAAACACTGGGACATTGCCTCGGAGTTGGCATAGCACCTTCTGGCCGTCTGGGCAAACAAAGTATGGCGCCTCGCCCTTAGGCCAGTAGAAAGAGAATCCTTGTTCCATGCATTTCTTTCCTACAGAACACACTGCAGGAGTGTTGGGGAGCTCAATGAATTGCAAAGGATTCCTCAAGGACTCAACGTAGACCTCGTGCTTCGTCTCAGCGTCTACGGGTCCATTAGCGGTGAGCAGACTCACCGGATTGGATGCAACCTTTTTAGCCTTGCCCTTGAAGTGGGCCTCTAGATCCGAGCGGCTGATTAGGTCTTCTTCGCTACCGGTGTCGGCGATGATTTCAAGGTTTTCACTAGTCACCGCAGCTGCAGCATAGGAGGGCAAGGGTACGGCTTCTTTGCACTTAGCACAGAACCCTTCTCTGCCCCGACACCTGTAACTACACTTGACCCTGATTCCAAGCTCAATGCCCTTAACCGCTGACTCTAAGGCGAGTGCGTTGCTGAGGGCGCGTGCCATGTCCTCGGGGTCAGAAGGAGGGCATTCGTCTGCTGTTTTCACCTGGAAATTATATTCGCGCTTCTCCAAGGTGAACTTCCTGCCCTTTCCTTCAAGTGGGATGTCAATGATCTCTGGCTTTCGGAACTGAACTTTGTTAGTTCGAGGCTTGACGGGCACGCTCTTGCGAGCGGCTAGAGCATAGGAAGGCTTGGCGTCTCCGCTAGACTCACCCGTAAGGGCGGCTAGTGGGGAAATGCAGCATGCAGCTGGCTTCTCCTGACTCTTCGCCTTCTTCTTCTTGCTCGGCCGTCTGCGCTTCCCTGAGGGGGATCGCGCATCGCCTCCTTTGCCTCCCTTGGCTGGGACAGATGGGCTAGCGTCCTTGTGCAGGAAGGGGCAGTTCTTTCCATTCTTGCATGTTCCCTTGGGGTAGAAGATACATGGAATCTTTGAGGTATCCTTCTTACCCCCGCCTTTACCACCTTTACCGCCTTTGGAAGGGTTCCTTGGGGGTGTCCTACCCCTGGTCTGTTCGGCTTTCACATGTTTGAACGGACATGCATCACCTCTCGGGCATTTCCCGCGCTGGAACGCAAAGCAGGGTTTGTCCTGACTCCTACCGCGTGGTGTGTTCGGTGCGGTGGAAGGTGCTGGTGCTCCAAACTTTGCGCCGTGAGCTTTAGCAATGGCCTTTCGGTTGTTTCTAGTTCTATCTCTGGCCAGAAGGTCCTTCACGCATGTCACCAGATACTCGTAAGTACGCTTCTCGGTGCCTTCTTTTGCACGATCATAGACTTCCAGATCAAACTTAAGTTTGCCGGAGCAGCGAAGCTGTCGGAGTAGGATGTCTCTCAGAGTGGTTTCCTCGGGTTGATGATTAAGCCCTGCTATTACCGACTCCCAGTTGTGGATGAAGGTGGCAAGGTCATCCCCGCTCAACTGCACTTTGAGGAGGTCCTCTACAGAGTACAATGATCCGGCTTCCTCATTGGTCTTAAAGTAGTGCTCAAACATAAGCAATACCTGCCTGCCTCGGACCGCTCTGCCAGCTGCTGCCTCCGACTCTTTGTAGTTGATGATCTGTCGGCCAAGATCCCCTCTGGCCACTCGCGAAAGGGACGAGAGGATTTTGGTGTCTAGCGTGAGGAATTTGCCTGTTTCCCTGAGCTTCTCTAGATCGGCCTCCCTCGTGTAGACTTCTTGAACCCATTTGAATGCTTCGTCAGGTCTGTCGGATGCAGCCCTGACGGCTTCCCTAACCGTGATTTTCCAACTTCTGTAAGTCTCAGGATTGGGGAAGTCGGGCAGTTTGACTGTTTCGGCTTCTTTAGCCTTGGGTTTGTCGTCGTCTCCAGGCTTCTGGATCGCTGACTTAAGAGCTTCTACGAGGATCTCAGCTGTCTCCTTGGGTTCTGTGGCATTAGCTGGTTCCTTTAGCTCACTAAGTTCAGCAGCAGACAATTCCACACCGGGGGCCTTGGGCTCTTGAGGCTCACCAATGTTGAACCTTTGAGTCCTTCCCAACACACCCTGAAGAGACTGCGGAATCTCCCTGG